AAAACTACCCTATAAAGGTAGGTCAGCTTTAATAACATCCATTTTATGATACACAGGGAAGTCAGAGCTTCAGGTTACCTAAGCAAGTTCTTTGCCAAGTTCGCATCCTTCAGCTGCTACAAAAGCAGTCACTGACACTTGGCATCGAATGCGAGCTCTGTAAACTTTCCATCCCTTGCCAGTTTGGTGTAGTGGTTAGGAACACAGACTCTAATCTGGGAGAACCAAGTCTGATTCCCCACTCCTCCACATGCAGCTGCACCTCTGGTGACTGGGGTCAGTCACAGTTCTCTCAGAGCTGTTCTCTCATGAGCAGTTCTCGGGAGAGCTCTCTCAGCCCCACCTACCTCACAGAGTGTCTGCCGTGGGAGGGGAAGGGAAAGGAGATTGCAAGTCGCTCTGAGACTCCTTTGGGTAGTGAAGGGCAGGGTATAAATTCAATCTCCTCCTCCTTCCTCTTCCTGCTTTCTTCATTGGTAGCATGCAGAAGTTGCTTTTCAGTGCCTTTAAACATCAATGCATGGGGCAAATGTCTCACTCAGTCAACCAACAGCCAGTGTTGTGTAGTGGTTAGAGTGTTAACTAGGATCTGGGAGACCCAGGTTCGAATATCCACTCCGCCATGAAAGCTTTCTGGGTGACCTTGGGCTGGTCATTCACCCTCAGCCTAACCTACCTCACAGGGTTGTTGTGAGGATAAAACAGAGGAGAGAATAATGCATTGTGTTCCCCACCAGAGAGGAAAGTGGCGTACAATAAAGTACATAAAATAAAAATCAATAAAAGCAACACATGAGTTGAGCCTCTCTAGGAACTTTCTGAACTCAGACGCCTGGGGAAAAAATTAAATGATTCTTCTAGCAAATTAAGCACAAAAGATTTTGTCCGGATACCCTGAAAATCTCGTTGGTCTCTTAGGTGTGAGGATAAAACAGAGGAGAGAATAATGCATTGTGTTCCCCACCAGAGAGGAAAGTGGCGTACAATAAAGTACATAAAATAAAAATCAATAAAAGCAACACATGAGTTGAGCCTCTCTAGGAACTTTCTGAACTCAGACGCCTGGGGAAAAAATTAAATGATTCTTCTAGCAAATTAAGCACAAAAGATTTTGTCCGGATACCCTGAAAATCTCGTTGGTCTCTTAGGATTTATTTGTTTGATTTATACCCCACCCTCCCCGCCGAAGCAGGCTCAGGGAGGCTTACAAGGCCATTGCCAACATAAAAACAATAAAAACAGTTAATATCATAAAAACACATTCTGAAGGTGCTACATTTATGTGATGGTAAAGGCTGTCCAGCTGCAGTAGAGTCAGCAATATTCGTACGGCTGGTTTCCGGCTCCGAGGTGCATTGTTCCTCAGTATGGGCACAGATATTAGATAAGGCAGCCAGGATGGATTATAGGGCCTAGCTTACCTGGCTGATGTTAAACAGTTTAATATGGTTGATATTAAACAGTTTAATATGACGTCTTACTCAAACGCTTGGCGGAAGAGCTCTGTCTTGCAGGCTCCGAGGTGCATTGTTCCTCAGTATGGGCACAGTTATTAGATAAGGCAGCCAGGATGGATTATAGGGCCTAGCTTACCTGGTTGATATTAAACAGTTTAATATGACGTCTTACTCAAACGCTTGGCGGAAGAGTTCCGTCTTGCAGGCTCTTAGGCACATTGTTCCTCATTATGGGCACGGATATTAGAGAAGGCAGCCAAGATGGATTATAGGGCCTAGTTTATCAGGTTGATGTTATACAGTTTAATGTGGCATCTTACTCAAACGCTTGGTGGAAGAGCTCCATCTTGCAGGCCCTGTGGAATTGTGATAAATCCCGCAGGATGTTACTGGACTCAAACATAGCTGTTCTACTGCTGACCAACACAGCTACCTATGTTCTGCTTTTAAATTTTGGAACTCTGAAGACCTCATCAGGGTTAGCCATTCCAGTCCCTCCAGCACCAAGAGCAAGCGCAGCGTAACTATGGGTTACAGGATATCCAGCGCAAGAGCAGCAAATTGATTTGACATCTAAAGCAATGTCCCTTGGTTTAGCAACATCTAGAAGCATGACTCCGAGTAATTCCTACGTGGCACTTAATCGGAGATGCGGTTTCTATTCTTGCATACCCTCGACAATTTAGAGCCGTTACTTGGGGAATTTACAGCCGACTCATTACTCTCTCTCTCTTTGTCTCGATAATAAATATTTATAAAACCGTAAGTTTGTAAAGACAGTTAAACTCACTTAATTGGATTTTACGATCTGTTCTTTGGTCTGAGCATGGGGGGGACGGGACTTGTGAAAAGGGAAATGGCTGATCCGATGTCCTATGGAGTTTGAACCCTCCTGTAGAGCGCCCCGTTTTCTTCGTACTAATGAAGACAGGAGTCTTTCTCAAAAGAGGAAGACGGGAAGTGCCCCCTTGAATGAGAACCAACCAGGTTGACATAAGATACTTTGCAACCTTTTTGAGCTCGGCAGCCTGATTGTGTTCTTCTCTTTTGATTCTGCATGGACTAATATGGCCGTTCATCATTTTTAAAATATTCACAACCACACAGGCATCAAGCTTATCTACTGTATTTATTGTCTACCTTTCTCATTGAGATTCGAGGCAGATTTCCACAGTGGAAGTCAATGCAATCGACAGGACTACCTCTGTGGTGAATACCTCTTCAGCCATGTTCCACTCCCCACCCCACTCCTACACAAACGTCTTTGGCATTACCAGAGGCCTGCAGAAATATGCAGGGTCAGAGTAGAAGAAGAGGAGGAAGAGGAGATTGGATTTATAACCTGCCCTTCACTACCTGAAGGAGTCTCAGAGGGGCTTACAAACCCCTTTCCCTTCCCCTCCCCACAACAGACACCTTGTGAGGTAGGTGGGGCTGAGAGAGCTCTTTCTAGAACAGCTCTGAGAGAACTTGTGACTGACCCAAGGTCACACCAGCAGCCGCATGTGGAGGAGTGGGGAATCAAACCTGGCTCTCCCAGATTAGAGTCTGCGCTCTTAACCACTACACCAAACTAGACAATGTCTGGCTGCTGGCAGACCAATCGCAGCTTTGTACTGTCATATGCATGACATTATGGGCCGTGTTGCACTTTGGTTTTGTTCTCAACACCTTCAGTTGTCATGTGAGACCGTCTCCCCCCCCCATGGTCTGCCATGACAGCTTCACCCATCCAAGCAGGCCCTTCTGCAGGGTACAACCTGCAAATGGGCAAGATCAACA